TTTTTTACTATTTTAGTTGATAGGCTCACCCCAAAATATGCTTTTTGGGACTGATTTAGAACCTGCATATTCTGCGTGAATCTCTTTAATTGATTGCAGTTGAGCTAGATGTTGGAGCCAAAATGCTATTGCCCTGTCTTCATCAGCATTTAATCAGTAAGTACTGGGCATTGCATACTTCATAGAACTTTAAGTTCATACTTTCAGCAGTTATGTGACTAAATATACTACATAGACATTTTTCTCTGAGTGTTCAGGTTTTATTAGAAGTATTTTGAGGAGAAGAAATCACAAAGTTTTGGAGTTAGGATTTGAGCTTTGAAAGCAGAGAGCGTGGCTGGGAAATGGTTGCTTGTAGAGAATCATCAAAAATTGATAGGTGTCCTCTTTAGTCTTATTTTAAGTCCTCTTTTTCCAGGTGCTTTTTTTCCTTAGATAAAAAAGATGGTTATCTCATTCCACCCCCTAGGGTGCCTTAAAGGCCTGGGATAAGTGTATTTACAAGGTAAGTTAGAGACCCAGGCGGTGGGGGGGGGCGGGGATGATAAGTGTATTTACAAGGTTAGTTAGAGACCACTAGTTAGAATTTAAATAACAACTATCCCTTACCTTCCCCACGTAATGCTGACCTTTCTATTAACTTCATTTATCTTTCCAGTATCTACAGAGCCTAATATTTATTAATGGTGTAAAAAATGATTTTCATTTAAATTGATTGCCAAGTGTTAAATATAAAATACCGATAGTTATCAAACGTATGTGGCATTTGCTTTCGTGTCATTTCTCCCTTTGTCTTGATGGTATTTTTGTTTTGTGAGAACTCCTGTGATAGAAATCACAAATACATTTTGTGTATGGTTTGATTCTATAAAGGTAAATATAACTTTAAATAAAAGGAGGAACCTTTGATTATGTCTGTTTTTTCAAGTTTGTGAAAGATAGCCTGTTCCATGACTGAATACCAGAAGTTGTCAAGAAAAAGCACACTGGAGAGCTCTGTATGAACAATTTAATGTCTTTTTTATGTCATTCCATTTTCTAAAATGAGTCATTTTGATTATGTACACTGTCAGGTCATTCTTCTAAGCACCTGTGGTCAAAGCAATCGTTCACTTACAGTCAGGTGTTACGTAGCAAAATAAATGCTCATTAGATTTATTGACTGCCTTTTTTAGAAACTGCTGAGGAAATGTGCTTTAAAAATTAACTTCAGTGTAAATCAGGTATATGGAGATAATTTAAGTTTCCCTTCAAAGAGTTTCTGAGGATGCCTTGCTTAAAAGTTTAGTGCTCAGTTTTGAATGGTTGAAATCTTGGTGTAGCCAAAAGTAACTCTTGAACCATGAGCTGAGTGAAAAATAACATTTTTGCTTTTTAATAGCAGTATAATTTTATTGCTAAACCAGGTATGAAATGCTGCACCTTAACACAACCTGTATTACCAAGTAATTCTCTTTACTCAAATGATGACATCGTTTCCAGTAGTTGATAGTTGAAGTCAACATTTTAAGCAATTAAAATGTATTAGAATAGACTCTATTAACAGCTTTATTGACATTTTATGGTGCACAGTCATATTTTACCATCTTAAAACCAAGACATAATGAACATTAATTAGTTACCTTAATTCAGTATGCTTTATGTTCATCTATGGCTCTACTTCTCAAATTTTTCCACAAAGTATACAGAGGAGCAAATCCCAAGGGGCCAGGGACCATAGTCCAAAACATTCTGCCTCAAGTGTGAAGTATTCCTATCTTGAATAAAATAGGTACTCGTGAAGATGTTATGCTTATTCTGTGGCCGTGTCTGTTGTCTGACATCCTCTGTGTACTCAATGTTTAGAATTTAGGAATTTGTTACCCATTATCTTCCACTAAAATTTTCTGTTTAGCAAAAAGTTTTATCTTTCAAAATAAAAATATCTTAACATCTTTCAGATTCTTTATTATACAATACTAACAGATCTTCTTTTGAGTATTTCCTAAGGTATTAATTATATAAAATGACAGGTACGGTAGTTTTCAATATGGAGTTTTTATAGTAGCATAACCTCAAAAACAAGTGTTCAGTAATAGTTACTGTTCAGTAATAGTTAAAATAGATAAATTTAGATCTACATATCCATTAAAAATGGAGACTAAAGAATGACACTGGAAAATGCTCTTGATACGGTAAATGCAGAAAAGATGATAAAAGATGTAACAGTATGATCTCAATATTGTAAAAACAGTAAAAGGTATGTTGGTACCTAGATAAAAAATTTAGAAGTTAATCACAAAAAAAAGTAGAATATGGATATAGAATATTTCTTATGCTGCATTGGATCAGGAAAAGACATCTGAAAACTAAATGTGTCCTTACTGCCTTACTAGTTGAATCATGCCAGGGACTTTGCCTTTCAGCCAATGTTTCTCAGTCTTTTGACTTACCCAGTAAAATTGCAGTGCTGTATGTTCTGTAGCTTGCTAAATTTTCCATTATAAGGGTATCTTACAGTAGTGAACGTTTTTCATACCAAGTAGTCTTATCCCATCTTCCAATTTAGAATCACAACTCTAAGCATCTAGGATCAGCAATTGTTGGCTCCTGTGCTTCTCATGATTGCCACTAATAGCATCTTCTCTTCCACACCTGTACCGTGCTGGGGAACCGATAACATCTATTTACACAGTTAGCCTCCAAAACCAGGAAGAAATGTGACTTCTTTCCTTGGTTCGTTCTAGTTTTTAGAAGATATTTGACACTTAATTGCCCGGAAAGTTAGGACAGGTAGACTCAGTTGATGGAAGTACTGGGTCTAAGATAACCCATTGGATAAGACCTTAACATCAATGTTGGAATGGAGAGTAGTATTAATGACTCATTTCTTTAATTAAATTGTGTTAAAGAACACACCCGAGAGTTACTACTTTATACTTACCCCTTTCTTTTTGTTCAACCAGGTTATTGTATATTAAATAAAGTCATCTTGTTCATTGGGAGCTATAAATGAAAAATATACTTCTCACATGTAAAGATATATAAGATCTCCATTATAAGTGTTTTATACCACATTTCAGAGTTTGGTTTTTTACCTTCAAAATGGTTTTATTTTTGTCATTGACA